AGTAAAGGGTACTGGACAGAGGAAGGGAAAACCCAAACTTTTCTACCTTTCAAGGTAAAAAAAAAGTTAATCTGCAGGATATTTTATCTTAAAAAAATGTGTATCAAGTAGTTCTGGCGAGTGTGTGTATATATGATGAATAAAATTGCAAGGGAGTGCAGTTTTATCCCACAGATCAGACACAGTCAGTCAATGAGTGCTGCTATGGAGTACATGAAGTCAAAAGTTGCTGCCCTAGGCAGAAGTCCAGCCAGAAGTTAAACTGAAGTACAGCCAGGAAGTGCTGCAATCCCGCAGCTGAACAAAACCCAACAGAAAGTACACCAGAAAGACTGACGTAATTAGGGCTGCATCTGGTGTGTGGTCAAAGGTGTGTGAAGAAGAAGCTGCTGGAGACCTTGCAGAATCAAGAGGAACTAGATGGCACAGCTCCAGATAGGGTAATGCCTCCTCCCTCAGAGAAAAAAAAGGGGAACATGAAAAATATATTCTCTTACATAGATGGAAAAGAGCAGAACACAGGGAAACAGAAAGTGGCAGCCCTCTCTGGCTTACAGAGACCACATCTCTAATGTAATGAAAATAAGCCTGATGGCAGGGCTGAATTGCTTTGTATCTACCAAGTACCCAAAAGGGAATATGGTTAATGACACTGACATATAACTTGTTTATACATCTAAGACATTCTGTCTTACACACTGTGGCTTCCATGTTCTGCTTTGCAACATTGGTTATTTGATACTTCTCCCATCCCTACTCCTACCAGAACAATATCATTAAGAATGGAACTGGAGCCCAACCTGCTAAGGTGACTTTGAAGATGTGCCTTAGAGAAGCCAAGAGAAAACCAGAGGAGCAATTAGCTCCTTAACTTAGTGGAAGTTCTATAGATTCTGGCTGGCATCTGACATTTCATGAGTGCTGCTGACAGGAAGCCCAGAGCACACAGAGCTGCAGGATTCAGCAACTTCAAATGACATAATACAATGCAAGGGAAGGAGCCAGAACTGTTGATTTTGCAAGGAATTAATCTTAACAGATGCATCTTCCAAGTAAGCAGTGCCTGCTTGGAAAGGAAAATGGCCAAAGGAATTTTCCAGAGAGTCTATTCAGGGAGTCTAGAAAAACTGGTGTACAGGTGCCACATCTCTACTAGAAGTCCCTTCTACTGTAAATACATCCACTGTCACTACATTCTACAAGTCTGCCAACCTACATTAACATCAGCAAATCATTTTAGCAACACAAGTTTCCAACTCTTGAGTGATGCTCAATAATGCATAGAAAAATTACTGATCCATTTAGGGAGTCAAGACTTCTGGGTGATACAAGGCTTGTTGATGGTACCCCTCTCTGTGCTGCTCTTTGGACTTATTCAAAATCCATTTTTTGTGTCCTTCTATTCATGAAGATTATAAATGATTAAATGTTTCCAACTATTGCTTAAACATGCTATTTAACTATTTCAGACTAAGTTTCATCTGAATGGGAGACCACCAAAAAAGGCACAAGCCACAAAGATATGATTTAACACTTGGGAAATCTTAAACAGCAGAAATACTGACTTGGAAAAATACTCAACCTACTGTCTTTGCCTGGATGACTGAAAAGACCAAGAAAGATTTGTTACAGCAAGCCCATGCTGAAAAACTCAGTTTCCTTTTCTAAAATAAGCTAATTAGTTTTTGGTCTCAGAGGACTATGAGATTCCTCTCATTGTTTTGGGAATTAAATATTGCATTATGCTTTTCTGTTCCATGAATACTCTAAAAAACAGAGCAATTTAAATCAAAATCTCAACAGCTGATTAAAGCAACAGAAAAGGAACAAAAAGACTGAAAAGGAATAGCTGTATTATGTCAAATATTTAATATACCTCTTATTACAAACACAGGCTACACTTATGTTCGAAACCTTAGACAAAGTGACAAGAAATCAGAATAGTAAAGAAAAGCAGGCAATCAAACAATTTCTTTCCTATTAAATGAGCGAAGAGGCTGCTTCGGTGAAGTGGTCACAGAAACAGAACACACCAAACTCCTATGGTATGGACAACTAATAAACTGCTTTTTTGAAATACTTGAAACATTTGAGTTTCAGCTTGCAATTATGAGTTGAGCCGAACATAAATTAATGCCTCAGCTGAAGTGCAAGCTATTTTACTTTTAAATTTAAAAAAACTATTAATAAAAGAGTAACCCGAATAGTAATGACTTGATGTAGGTTGAAAGTAGGGTGTATGCAAACCCCTAGGATTGTGATGGGAAAAAGAAAATTAATCTCTTAAAGTGTTATTGTGAAAGAAGTAAGTGATTAAACTGACTGAAAGCATGATGATTGTTTCGTGTTCTTCGCAATTTCTGCAGACTTGTGTGATGAGGATGAGAAGAATTGCAGTGACTGCTTTAGCTGTCTCCCTGTGCAGCAAGCACAGTGTAACTCCCAGGCGGCCCTGCCACCTCTCCGTGCTGGCCTCAGGAAGCCCTGGTGCAGGCTCCAGGCCCCTGGCACAGACTGCTCATCAGAGTTTGTCAGAACCTTTTGACAGCAGTTCTCAGCCGGGCATTTGTGGCAGTTCTTCAGATGCTGAGAAAAATTACAAGAGACAAGAACTCACTGTTCCTTACCCTAAGAAGGCAGCAACTTAAGAGTTCTACAAATTCTCAATAGAGTTCCCAACTTTTCTTCCAAGCCCAAGGTGGCAAGAGGCTTCAGCAAGCACGTGCCACACTTTTTCCAGTGATGCCTGCTACCCTGAGAACAGTTTCCAAGAAGACGCAAGCTATGGGTCTTCTTAGAAATTTTAAACTGCATAAAATGGCAATGTCAATAAGAACTCGGTTGACCTGTTTTTTCCTGTACCTGAGTGGCTCATTTTGTGCTAGCACATGTATCAGTGAAGTGAAATGAAAATCAGAATCTGGTCTTTGCTTTTCTTTTGCCTGACTAGTTTTAATAAAAAGAAAAAATGAAACCTGACTGTCTGCATTAATTCTGCACAGTTCGCTGTGTGTGGTATATAACAAACCACATAACCTGTGTCGGAAGACTTTGAAATGAACCACCGTGGCAGGATTGATTATTTCTTTTGCAATATCAAAATATTATCAGCCTCAAATGTTTACAAAATTCTCATTTCATAATTTATTTTTTCCCAAAGTGTAAATCACAGAAGACATGCAGCACTATTTTTATTCTCTCCCAGACAGCACAGAAACAGGAGAGAAGTTACATGTGTGATTCTTATGAAATATGCACTGTCACATGATATGTTGGCCAAAATAATCAGGTATTGCATGCTTTTTTAAAGTTCAACATGTAAGGATGAAGTGCACCTTTGAAAACTCTATTAACTACTGTGAATTTTTTGTAACACATCTCAAAATTCTTTTAACTAGTATCTGGCTATTTCAACTGTATACTGTCAGCTGATTTAACAATAAAAATGCAGTAACAAAACTGTGACAAAAGTATATTTTCATGTTTCTGACATTGCTGGTCACCTCCAGGTCATATAAGATACTTAAAAATATTTACAACAACAGTGATAGATAACCTAGAGGAGGAGAAGGAGCAACAGCCTTTGAAAAAAGGGAGACAGCCAACAAGAATATTCAGGGGCTGCAAAAACCAAGCAAACAAACAAAAAACAACCAATCAAATAACAACCAAAACCCCAACCTGCTCTTGAGGTTAAATTGTTTTCCCACAGTTATTATTTCTAATAGTCAAAAGACACTAGTCTTCTGATCAGAGAAAGGCTTCTAATTTTGTTCTACTGCAAAAATAGTAACGTAAAAGCATATATGACCAGCTTATAGAAGTTGCTGATAAATGTTATTTATGTAATTTTCATAGGTGTTTCCCCTCATTTTACACATACAATGCTCAGTTGCAAATAACAAAGATAATTAAAATGCTGTTACAGACCCTTTCTTTCATAAACACCCACTTGAATTCCCTTGAACTCAAACTGAAAATAATCCCAATGCCTCTATGTCCTAATCTGCTCTTTCTTATTTACTGTATTTTAAGTGGTTTCTCCAAATGAGACTTTACTGGCAACTGTAAAAGCTGTATGTCCATTTACAGGGCTCTGCTAAACCTATGGAAAAACACTGAATTCCAAACAAAGAACTCACCACAAATTACTACACCAGCCACTATTCAAGTGAGGAGTGTGAGTGGATATTCCAAGGAGTCCCAGGGCAACAGAGGGCAGACACATACAGCTCTTACCAGTAAAGAACTTAAAAGGAGTTGCTAATAAGACTGCATCTGCAGAAACCTAACCTCAACATATGCAATAGAAAAGTTTTTTTTTTTTTTTTTTAAATATATGTATCTCAAAATAAACTCACTACAAAGCATTGTTATTCCAAGAAGGTTTATCACTGCAAATTACAAAATAATCTGCTATTTTTACAAGAAAAAATGTTCTGCTTATATACAATAATAGAAAACACTTCAAAACCATAAAATACAGCTACTCTGGTGTAGAATCATATGCTTAATAAATTCCAAGATTGTGTCTCCAATTAATTTGGGGAGAATCACAAACATTTATGGAAAGGTTCAAAAATCAACCAACAGATTTTAAGGTACAACAATTTAGTTTTAAAATCCCACAGAAGACTTCTCTGTTAGATGAAATATGACTATATAATGTTGATTTCATTGTAATGAAGTCCTGAAGAATAATAACTAGGATATACTTAGCAAGTTATGTAGCTACGCATACATAAGATAAGAAAATAACATAAAGGGATTTTTTCAACTGTATTTAGGAAAATAAAAATCTAGTATTTTCCAACATATTTTCACAATATAACAACTCCCTTAAATGAAATTTCTCTCTGTAATAAATGGTCTTCCAAAGCCTTCTGAAGCTCAGTTACAAAAATTAGTAGAATAACCATGAGCAATGCATTTCTTACCACTCAACTTCTTATGATTGAGATCACAACAATGTCATTGTTTAAGGGCCACTTGCAACTTACATCTATTTAAAAAATTATCAATGTTCTTGTTCTTCCTCAGCGCTGGATAATCCAAATCAAGGACCAAAGAATTCAAGCCATCCTGAAAAAAAATAAAAATAAGTTAACTGAATTCTAAAATTTCAAGTAACAACTTACTTAAAGTAACTGCACTGAGAGTGATTATACATTATTCAAGCAGGCATTACATTCCTAGTAGGCAAATCAAACAAGCTCTCAAGTATGTTTATAAACCAGCAGAGGAGCCAACAAACTGACTGGCTCCAAGTTCTATAAACAGTACTGCTGTATTGCCACTGATTAGTGGCACTGGGACTTAAACTGGAGTAGTAGTTTTAATCTTAATCACTAAGTAATCTTACTCATTAAACACTGATTTAAGATACCGAGTTCAGTCAATCCATTTTTCTTACTTCTGTTACACTTTTCCTGCAAAGACTTTATGTTTGTATATCCATATTATTGCTTTGATCAAAGTCCCTCTACCTTCTCATTCTGGGCATACAAAAACCAACCACATTTTTTTTGGAAGCAAGACACGACTTAAACTTAAGAAGACAATTCACCATGTAATTCAGGCTCACAGCACTAAAATACCTTTTCTAAGTGACTCAACAGAACATGAGCCAGAACTTTACATGCCGTTCTGCATTATCAATGCCTCAGCAGAATACAATTGAGAATCCTAAAATGGAAAGGGATGAGATCATCAAAAAACTAAACTAAAAATAGCATTTGAAATGTCTGTTACAAGACTTTACTCAATTCCACCTTTCTGCAACCTGGAAAAACTTTAGAAAATTACTCTTCAAACACAGAGACCTTTCCAGTTACACAGGGACAAAAAAACCTAAAAGTTAGTTTCAGATACTAAGAGGAGAATACACCATTCATTGTCAGCAGCTCCAGTGTTCAGCTTGAACTGGCAGCTTTATTCATTGCTTAAGGACAAAATCCTGAGACTGCTTTTTCAGGTTTTTGAGCCTTGACAGGGCATCACAGAGATTTAAGTCAGAGACCACATCATGTTTATTAATAGGCAGCCAACAGAACTAGATAGCTTTTCAGTCTTCTTAATAACAGAGGCTATTAGCTAACAACCTGCTGATTTTATATTTGTTATTAATATATCTGGGAAGGTATAATTTATTGCAAATATTACTGAAAATATTGTATTTATTTTAATAACATATCTGGAGAGATTCAAAAGCAAAGCCTAGGATTATTAAATACATTTTGAATGCCACTTTGTTCCTAAATAAACTAATAAAAAAATAAGACCACCTCATCCGTGGCAGTATCAGTTTACACCACAAAACACATTAATGGTTATGACAATTTCCAAAATAAAGAGATTTTATTTATTTATTTTTGCCTTCTAACAAATGAAAATGTCTTGCAAAGTGTCACAGACACATTGATGGAGTATGGGCTAGGCAAATGATTAAAAGTTGGTTGAAAGACTCTGCCCGAAGACTGATCAGTGGCACAAAGTCCAGTTGGAGACAGACACCAGCAGTGCATCCCTGCACTGGCACTTCTCTTGGACAGAGAAGGTTTTCACAAAGGTCAATGAGAGGAAAAGCCAAGTCCTGCTGCTGGAGAGGAAAAACCCCTGGTACCAGGTATAGGCTGTGGCCTAACAAGCAAGAGAACAGCTTTGCGAAGAAGCACCTGAGGGTCCTGGTGAACAACAGATTCCTCTCTACTCTGCACTGAGGAAGTCCCACCTGGAATGCAGTGTTCACTCCTGGTCTCCCAAACCATCAAAGGCAGGATGAATCCAGCAAAGGGCCAGTAAGATTAAGGCACAAAGAACTGTGACTCTGCAGCCTGAGAGGCAAAGACTTAGGACAAGGGAGCTCATCAGTGTCTGTTGGGAAGGACAGAAGAAAAGGCGCTGCTCATTGACAGGACAAGAGACAATGGACATAAGGTAAAACACACAAAACTCTATTTGAACACCACACTTTTTCCCTGTGAGAGTGGTCAAGTACTGGATGAAATTGCCCACAGAGGCAAAATCTGACATGGCATGGTCATGGGCAACCTACTTTGGTAGATCCTTCAGTGAGCAGGGTGTTGGACTAGACAATATCAAGAGGTCTTTGCCAACCTCAAACATTCTGAAACACGTATAATATTTCCACTGCTGCACAGACAAAAGGTGGAATTTTAGTCTTGATTCTATGTACCCTTAATTGTTATGACAGTCTTACACATCAAATTTTAGAACTTCCTACCAGAAAGCATAAGACAGTGTAAATAAGCAAACAGAAACTCAGTCAAAAAGGCACATAGTTGCTTTAATAATAGTAAATATAGGAATTATTTCAGCCTTGACCATAATAGTTCCTGCAAGACACATTAAGGAGAAAGGAGTGATGCACCAGGACATCATACGCATCTTTCAGAGCGACAGAAGATGACTTCTATCTGTTCCTAATTTACATGACACTTTTACAGAAAATACAATAAAACCAAACCAAAGTAACAAAGTTGTAATAAACTTACGGATTAGTCACTACATGAATTGGACAGGTAATGCCCAATAATCTGGACAAATCCAACAGAAAATACTAATTTGAAATTACTTCCTGCAAAATAGTGTAATAGAATACATACTACTTTTGACTTGGCAAACACCACCTTCAAGAAAGGGTATCTCCTTCTGCAGCACAGTGTGTCTGCAGATCCTCACCCTGCAGCATGGAGAGAAGGACCATGCTGAATGCCCACTGGGAACAGCTGGGCCACACCTTTTAGGATTTTACCTAGCTCAATAAGTATCAATTTCTATTATATGGCAGTCTACACCAAACTCCAACATTATTCTTTCACTTCTACTGAGAAAATTCTCTCATGATAACTAACAATAGGATAAGAACTTAAAGGGAGATGTAAAAGCACTCTGTGCTAACAAAAATCAAAAAGGCGTATTTCTCTTCTTCCTATTTTGAAGGGGAAGAGAGGTGAGGTCACCTGATGTCTTAATACTTTTCATGTGAAGATAATTTAGTGGTTGACAAGAAACACATATATAGTGTGTCTAACTTCCATTTTATGCAAAACATCAGGGGAAAGAATAGTTATTACCCCAACAAAATTTTTAGTGAAGTTGGATTACAAGGTCCAAACCTATCATACATGTTCCAATTTAAGCTGAACTGTATATTATAATTTCAGCTGTCACTTTTTTCCCACATGTCATTCTGATTCCATGGCTTTTTCGTGGGCTATACAAACTGAGAAGCATATTTGCACCTAATTTTTAATTAGCTTTTTTTGCCTCTTTTTCATGGACTTCAGGTAACAATTTTCAAAAATAGTTATTAATGAAAGGAAATATGAGAACAACACAACTGACTATTTTACCTCTTTGGAAATGTCCTAATTCTAGAACGCAGCAGATACAGCTAGTGTCAAAGAGAGGTGATCATCAACAAGTAACAGAAAGTGTGTGAAATGGTTTTTAGCCCTGTGAACAAATCTTATTATCATATTCTTTCAGAGACAAGATTTTAAGCTTTTAAACAAAATTTTAATGCAAGAGATTTCAAGTTCATATCAACATGTAATTTATTAAAAACTTGTCTTGCACACTAGCATTTTGTCAGAAGTTGTTTCCTTAAAGCTTTACATTTTCATTGAAAGATCTAATTTATATCACTTAACAGAAAAACTAACTACAATTAAGAAGCTGGGTCAAAAGATTATGCAGTAAAACAGGCAGTTGGGACTGAAGAGAAGTAATCCAGGAAATGACGTCTCCTCTGTCTAGGCCTCACAGATAAGTCACTTGAACCAGGAAATATGCTATTAAAGGGATTTCACTGCTCACTTCCGCTTTCTGCTATCACAAAAGACTCTGAGCTAACAGGCCAAAAATAGCAGCTTCCAAAGCAAATGCATCACCGGCAAAGATAGATCTGCCCCCATCAAAAGCCTTTTGCTGATGGCAAACACGCTGAAATGTTCTCCAAGAGAAAAGACCAAACCTGATCTATTTTGCAACACCCTCCGACTACATGAGAAGCAGAGCTCTTGGCCACTCTGCCAGCAGTCACCCTCTGGGGCCAGCATGGAGCTTGGCTTCCCCAGCAAGCAGTTTGCACTGTTTACCGACCTGAATGAACCAAGGGAAAAACAGGCAAGAAAAGTTCATGAAACACAGGAACTAAATGTTTATGTTCTTCTCTGACAGAAGGGTCAGTGATAGGGAAAAATACTAGTAGCTTCTCAATAATGAGCTTAATATTAATACCAGGCAATCCCACAGAACCCTTCTCCAAATTAAACCATTCTGTGTTGATAAGAGTTTCTGATGTTGAAGTAACTGTCTGAACTTGTCTAACATTGATATGTGCATGTAAACTTCACTGGCTGTCAAAAGCAGCTTAGACTATTTTTGATTTATTCCTTACTTTCATTATGTGAAAAAAATAAAACACAAGGCCAAATAGTGGATGACTGAACAGAAAAGGTATCAGTTACTTCAGGAAACAATTCATAATCCTGCAATAACTGGAAAATATAAAAAGCCTGATCTAGAGAAAGATGTCCCTGCCCACAGACAAAGGAGTTGGAATACATGATCTTTCAAGGTTCCCTTCCAACCTACACCCATGAGATCCCACGGAAATTTCACTATAACATTATTTATTAAAAAACTAAAACAATATTCCTTTCCTTTTCCAAATCACCAAATAAAATTTAATAAAATATGCTGCAGCAAAAAGTAAGGATAGAAAAGTCTTGTAACATCACATTGCATTTTTCTAACTGGGCTTAAATGCTTTTAGAGACAGAAGTACCCAAATCTAAAAACACAGGATATAAGACTCTTCCCCAGTACTAAACCTCCACTGTGTTCTTCCATATGCCAATGGGACCCTTAAATAATTCTGGACTTTCCTGAGCAATTAGTTCTCTCTATAATACAGAAGCTACATTTGGATGCAAGGTGAACAGCTCAGTAACAGCATACAATAAGAAAAACAACTGAAAGGTTGTATGCAAGGCAAATACAGCCTTTTCCCTGCTCAGTGATCTCTAGGATATGTAGCAATTCACTTTTCTCTT